TCTACTGATGGACACTTAGGTTGCTTCCATTTCTTGGCTATTGTAAATAATGCAGCGATAAACATAGGGGTGCATCTGTCTTTTTCAAACTGGAGTGCTGCATTCTTAGGGTAAATTCCTAGAAGTGGAATTCCTGGGTCAAATGGTATTTCTATTTTGAGCTTTTTGAGGAACCTCCATACTGCTTTCCACAGTGGTTGAACTAGTTTACATTCCCACCAACAGTGTAGCAGGGTTCCCGTTTCTCCGCAACCTTGTCAACATTTGTTGTTGTTTGTCTTTTGGATGGTGTGATCTGCTGTATTCTTAAGGGTATTTTGATCTCAAAGTAATTTAAATTAGCTTGAGCCAAAAATAAAATTCCCTTTGGAAGTTACAACTGTAAATTCCCTTTACAGTTACAAAAGTAAAAGGGATGTTGCAAATCCAAAACCCTACACTGTGACTTGATGCTTGGGAGGGACTTCCAGAAAGTGCATGCATCTCACACATCAAAGTGTGCAAGGCTGTGGCTCTCATCCCCACTACCAAGTGTAAGACCTTATTGTAGCCCCTCTTCTTCTTGTCCAGGATGGCACAGGCTGTGCTGGTTCGCTGCAAACCTGGCATCAGGTCATCCACCTCCCCCTGAAGCCTCTGCTTGGTTTTCTCCAAGGAAGTGCACTGGGAGCTCATTGCCTCTGTGCTCTCCTCTGCTTCCTGGAGCCTCTGGGCCAGTTTTTTCCTAAGAGAAACAGATCTTCTTTTTCTTGGCAAAGGTGGACTATTTGAGAAGTAACTGTCAGATCAGAAGAGAAATAAACAGTCCCTAAGGGATCAGAAATTGATAGGACCAAGACTGAGAGTTTGATGAATGGACCAGTTCTGAGTCACCCGAAGAATGTCAAAGCAGGTCACCAAGGAGCCACCAAGGAAACCAGGTGGACTGTCCCAGGGGAATTGCAAGGAGACTATCCGAATGCTTAAGAAAACTCAAAGGCCTGGGGAGGAGGAAAGAGTTTCTCAAGGTGGGAGGAATTCTCTGTTCCTTTGCTTGTGTCTTAGGGTCACCTCTCCCACCATAACCTGCAAGCCCGTACTTGGCCTCCTCCAGCTCCTCTCTGCACTGGGTGGCATCCGTCTCGTACTTGGTCCTCCACTGGGCCACCTCGCTGTTGGCCTTGGACAGCGCCCTCTGCAGCTCAGCTTTGCCTTCCTGCTCCTCCTCGTACTGTTCCCGCAGCAGGTCACAGTTATGGCAGGCTGACTGCAGGGCGTGTGCCAGGGCTTTCTTGACCTGTGGAGGTACAGTGGTGACAGATTGCAAAACCATCTGGCCATTTCCCAAGGTAAGGTATTTTCACTTAAACCAGCCTTTCCCAAGGTGAAATGCTCCCACGCTGCCTTCATGAACTTTGCTGTATCAGTGTGTCATCTGTTTCATTTACTTCAGTTGACTCCTTTATTATATTTACAAATGCTTATTTAAAAAGTAAACTATTAATGCTACAGTATGGGAAAACTACTAACATTTGCCACAAACAGAGGGTAAACATAAGAATAAATGCAACAGAAATAAAGCAGTGCTATCACCTGCTAGCTAGGTACTTTTCTACCGTGGCTCTGTACCTGAGACCCACATTCTATGATTTAATAAGGGAAATAAACATGTGCTAGAGAGATGGTACCCAAATTGAGACCTTTTCCTTACATAATCAGAAGAATCAAGGCAAAATTAGAAAGGGTATAATTTTCACACCACTTGATGCAATGTTACAGAATGCTATCACTGTGAAAAACCCAAAAGCATGTTTCGGTGTCACCAGGGGTTGTCCCCACACCAGGGAACCAATGCGATCTGCACTGTGTCTCCGGCTCCAGCACGTCTTCCTGAGTGGGGTATGGCATGCCCAGAGGCCCCCACCACTCACTCCCACCTGGTCAGGAGGGTGATTTGACTCTTGTCACGAGGTGCCACCATCAGAGAAAGAGTTTGGTCAACCCAGTGTGGTCATTTGCACATTTTCATCCTTTTAAGAACACAAAGAGACAACAAAACTTTGCCCAGGAGGGAAAGCTTAGCTCCTACTGTACTCTGGCCAGAGGACGGCCTTGCTCACACAGTGTCTTTCGCTACTTTAGATTCTGGTTCTCGCAATCCCCAGCCCACCAAAGACCCTTACCATATAATAGAAAAATGGGAAGCAAGTATAGGGCTCATTCTTTTTTAGAAGTAAATGCAGCTTGGGGAAACCTAAAGATTGCCTTGTATGTCTTAGCCAGCACATGGCAACCTCAGAATTACATTGATGGAGTTTTGTGGACTCCTGGATTCCTCTTCAAATGTTTGAACGCACATTGACAGCATTTACTAGGCCCCTACTGTGTGCACTGTTCAGCAGCACACTGAACCTATGCTACTACAGTGGGGATAAATTATTCTTGCCCTCCACAAGTTTACAGATCAGTGAAGATAGGCATTATAAACATAAATATCTAGATATTGAAGTCAAGAACAAGATGATAATGTTCATGTTTATGCACATGTTCCAAGGGTGCCCCTAAAATCAGGCAGTCTCTTTGGAGGAGGACTTGAAGAGACGGTCAAGCTGGTGCAGCAATGGGGAGGGGATGCCCTGGCTGGAGAGGGATGTTTATCAGGCCACTAGGGGACAGAGGAGCCCAGAAGATGGAGCTCTGAGGAAGGACCAGTGCCAAGGTCCTCAAACTTCAAATAACAGGCTCCTACTGTACTACATGGCAGAGGGGAGGAGCATCAGACTTCTGACATAGCACTGCCTCCAACCAGCTGCACAGCTTCTCAGGTTCCGTCTGACTCCGCCATTCACAAAGGGGGCATCCTGACCTTGGTTTCTCCTTCCAGTTGCCTCTTAAGCTCCTCCAGCTGCTGGGTGAGGGCCTGCTTGCCTTTGGTTAGCTGTGAAATCAGAGACGCCTTCTCTTCCACTTGGTGACTCAGCTCCCCTACCGAACAGATGCGGCCCCACGTCAGTGTTGCTGACCGCCCTCTCCCACGGCCCTGCTGGGCCACGGTGCCCTGCCCATCCTTACCATTTTGGGTCTGCAGTTTCACCTTCTGCATGTTCAGATCATAGATTAACTGTGTCTGTTGCTCATCTTTGGCTTTGATTTCATTAAATTGATCTTCCACAGTCTGGCACATTCTTTCTATGTTACTCTTAAGAAAAAAAAAGATATCACATGACTGGAAAAAATGGGTTCCTGGTGTCCAGTATTGAACTGGACAGTTTGATAGCTTCTTGCCAGTAAAATAAAAATAAAAGTACAGAACACATAAAGGTAAGTTAAAAAAAATCATGATCACTTCAAATTTGCTTTATTTTTGTTTGTGATTGCTACTTAGTCACCAACAACTTAGAATATCACCTTTTAGTCGGTAAGTATTTACTGGTTTGTAAACAAACTTTTGAGAAGATGCCATCCAAAGGAACTGTGGGACTTTCTCATAATATAAGTAATTCTATTGCAATGTGAATAATATTACCTCCTGATTTGTCTGTTTGCAAGTAGTACATTAAGGTAGCAGTGTTGAGCATTTCATTTAATTATAAAAAAGATTCTCTATGGTGTAGGTGGCATGGAGTTCACTCTCTCAGCCTCTAGTTTGCCTGCAATTTTGTGAAGATTGTTTAAAAATCATGCATATGTTGTAGACCTCTTTCCTCTTCCTCCCACCTCATATAACACAAAATAAACATATTGAGCATATGTCCTCCCTTAGACTGTGAAGTATAAGATGGCAGCAAAAGAGGCAGGAATGTTAGATTCAAAAGATGTTCTCAAGGGGCTTAAGATTACCTTTGAGAAGATTACATATGAACAGAAATGAATCTAATCTGGGGTAGTTGAAAAAGGGTTGGTGACTCCCAAGGAGAAAAATCAAAGGATACAACAACTTAAAAAACATAAAGGAATAAAAAGTCTTTCTTCCACCAAATTTTAAGATTGAGAACAGACAGCATGAAGCAATGGTGGAGAGAAAGAGGTTGTCAGGAGGGACTACATTTGGGTGATGTTGTAGTTTCTTCTAACTCAGCCAGACTTGCAACCTGGCCTGACTTGCTACAAGGGGAGGCGGAGGAGAGAATATACATTGAGACCTAACTTCTTAGAGGGAGGGAAAAACCAAGAATGGCAGAAAAATGGGAAAGCAGGAATGAGAGAGAAAGTAGTTGCAGTCAGGTAGTGAGGAAGAAATCAAGAGAAAGCACAGGCTGTATGATTCCAGATGCTACAAGGACAGTAAGAGGCAAATGCACCTAGGAGCACACAGCCACTCTCGGAGGAAGCCTTGGCTTTGAATTCATACGCAGGTGGGTTTACCACAAAACGGATAAAGTTTAAGCTTCAGGTCCCTCATGTGCACAGGCCCTAGATCATGCAGGTTTCTGTAGAAGGTCCCAGGTGGGAAGGAAACATTGTTGCAAGTAGAATATATTTCCAGGTAGGCATTTCTGAGGAGGCCTTAGAAGACAGGGGTCTAAGTCTCCAGAGTGCAAGTAATTTGTCACTTATTTTTTCTCATTCAAAATATTTATTTACTTTTGTGCATAACTTTGCATTCATATTTAATGTACATTTTGCTTCAAGTGCCCCGAAACCTGGATCCACCCCTGCTCTCATGCATAATTTCACATTGGCTATTTCACAATTGGGTATAAATATTGTGGACTGAGAAGGTGGTATGTAGAAAACCATACCCAGTAGGGCATTTGGTGCAATCCATCCAGAGGTTTATTTCTAGAAACCCCCAGATGGATTGGAAGACACCGAACGCTTTCTGGAAGACTCTGGAAGGACGATGAGACAAAGAGTCATAGCAGGTCATTGTGTCAAGCTTGAATGCCTTGACTGGATTTGGGGAATTGGCAGCAGGCCGAATCTGGGTAGAGGCTTTCAGTTTAGAACATGCAGTGGGTTTGGAGGCATGGAATTATATCTGTCTGCTGGGCAGGTGGATGCAGCTACCTCAGATTTGCCAAGAGCAGGGGCCAGGTACCTTTGACTTGGAGACAGTCTCCATGTTGCTGGCCAGGTCGTCGATCTCCATCTTCATCTCACTCTTCTCCTTCTCCAGCTTCTGCTTGATCCTCTGCAGGTTGTCAATCTGCAACCCCCGCTCGTCCACGCTGTCCACGTGCTTCTTCCTCAGCGTGGCTGCCGTGGCTTCATGCTGCAGGGTGGCCTCCTCCAGGTCCCTGCGCAGTTTCAGGAACTCAGCCTCCTGCTTCTTGTTCATCTCAATCTGGGCCGTGGTCGCCCCACCGGCTTCTTCCAGCCGCTCGCTGATCTCCTCCAGTTCCGGGGCCAGGTCCCCACGCTGCTTCTCAGTCTTGGCCCTGAGTGTGTGCTCTGCTTCAATCTCTTCCTCCAGCTCTTCTGTGTGGGCCTGAAGGAGTCAGAGTATCAGGAAGGTTGTGGAGGGCAGCAGCCCACTTTGGGAGGGGCAGGGTGGTGAGGGACTGGGGGTAAGCTCCATGAAGAGTACATTGCAACATTAAGTTAGTGAAAAAGACTTGGGAACAATTTGCCTGTCCATCAATAGGGGAATGGTCAAACCAACTGTGATGGAGCCATGCTCCCGAGGTCCATGGAGTGGTTAGACACTGGCCCGTGTCTACCGTGAACAGCTCTGCAAATTGTATCCCTACATTAGAGGAGCAAGTTGCAGAATGATAGTCTCAGTATTATTATATTTAGGCTAAAAAATATAAAATACATAAAAAATAAAAATATAAATACATATATTATATGTACTGTTGACCCTTCAACAACATGGGTTTGAACTGCACATGTGCACTTATACATGGATTTTTTTCCAAAATATTTTGGAAAAATTTTTGGGTATTTACAACTATTTGAAAAACATTTTCTTTTCTCTAGCTTACTTTACTTTAAGAATACAGTATAGGATATAGACAACATATAAAATGTGTGTTAGTTGACCATTTATGTTTTTGGTAAGGTTTCTAGTCAATAATAGGCTATTAGTAGTTAAGTTTTTGGGGAGTCAAAAGTTATATGAGGATTTTTGACTGTGTGTGTGTGTGTGGGGGGTTTGTTTCCCTTAACCCCCATTCAAGGGTCAGTTGTATATTTATATTTATATACATATATAAATGTAAGATATATATTATGTGTATTTATACATATTTTATGTCTTTATTAATATATATATGAAATGTTTTTTCTTTGGATGTTAAATGTGTACATAAATCCATAGCAGAAGATACAGGAGATGCACATCCTGCTGAAAGTGGTGTTGGTGACTTCCTAGAACATGACAAAGGTGCAGGCTTGGCGGTGGAGGTCAGAGCACCCTTATCAGTAATATTTAGCTTTACTGGTAATATTTTAATTATTCTTGAGGAAAACTATTTATGTGCTACTTAGAAAATTAGAGTATATAGGCCCCAAACAGCCAAAGCAATCCTGAGAAGGAAGAACAAAGCTGGCAGGTTTACCCTCCCTAACTTCAAGCTCTCCCACAAAGCCACAGTAACCAAAACAAATTTGGTACTGGCACAAGAACAGACCCATAGATCAAACAGAATAGAGAGCCCAGATATAAACCTACACATATATGGCCAATTAATATATGACAAAGGATTCATGGATATACAATGGGGAAATGACAGCTTCTTCCACAACTGGTGTCGGCAAAATTGGACAGCTACATGTAAGAGAATGAAACTGGATTATTCTCAAACTCCATACACAAGAGTAAACTCAAAATGGATCAAACACCCAAATGTAAGTCATGAAACCATAAAACTCATAGGAGAAAACGTAGCAAAAATCTCTTGAATATAAACATGAGCAACTCCTCCCTGAACACATCTCCTTAGGCAAGAGAAACAAAAGCAAAAATGAACGAATGGGACTACATCAAACTGAAAAGCTTCTGTACAGCAAATGATACCATTAGCAGAACAAAAAGGCATCCTACAGTATAGGAGAATATATTTGTGAATGACATATCCAATAAGGGGTTAACATCCAAAATACATAAAGAGCTCACACACCTCAACACCCAAAAAAACACATGACCCAATTAAAAAATGGGCAGAGGATCTGAACAGACACTTCTCCAAAGAAGAAATTCAACTGGCCAATAGGCACATGAAAAGATGCTCCACATCACTAATTATCAGGGAAATGCAAATTAAAACCACAATGAGATATCACCTCACACCAGTTAGGATGGCCAACATCCAAAAGACAAGAAACAACAAATGCTGGTGAGGACGTGGAGAAAGGGGAACCCTCCTACACTGTTGGTGGGAACGTAAATTAGTTCAACCACTGTGGAAAGCAATATGGAGGTTCCTCACAAAACTAAAAATAGAAATACCATTGGACCCAGTAATTCCACTCCTAAAAATCTACCCTAAGAAAACAAGATCACAGATTCAAAAAGACATGTGCACCCCTATGTTTATCACAGCACTATTTACAGTAGCCAAGATATGGAAGCAACCTAAGTGTCCATCAGTAGATGAATAGATAAAGAAGATGTGGTACATATACACAATGGAGTATTATTTAGCCATAAGAAGAAAACAAATCCTACCATTTGCAGCACGTATGGATGGAGCCAGAGGGTATTATGCTCAGTGAAAAAAGCCAGGCAGAGAAAGACAAGTACCAAATGATTTCACTCATCTGTGGAGTATAACAAGAAAGCAAAACTGAAGGAACAAAACAGCAGCAGACTCACAGACTCCTAGCAGTTACTAAACGGAAGGGGTTGGAGGCGATGGTGGGTGGGGAGGGAGGGAGAAGGGGATTAAGCAGTATCATGATTAGCACACATAATGTAGAGGGGGCACGGGGAAGGCAGCACAGGAGGGAGAAGACAAGTAGGGACTCTACAGCATCTCATTGCTCTGATGGACAGTGACTGCAATGGGGTGGGGGTGGAGACTTGATAATATGGGTGAATGTTGAAACCTTCATAAGATCGTATATCAATGATACCTTAATTAAAATATATATATATATTTCCTAAAAAAAAAGAAAATTAGAGTATTAATTTCAAAAAATAAGGAGAAAGATAGGGCATTCTCTCCAGCTGCAAGGAGAGGAAGAAGCAGCTAAGGAAACATGGGAAGAGCAGGGAGGGGCACCTGCCCAGGGATTTTTGGGAGTGGGAAGGTTTCGACCCTTTTACCTGCAGTTCTTTTATCTTCTTTTGCAACTGCAAACTGTGAACTTGTTCTTCGTCAATTTTGGTTTGTAATGGACTGATTTCAAACCCCTTCCTGCCAATAGGTATATTTTTTTAAGTAACATGAAATACAAGCCTTTTAAAGGGGTATTTGGGTTCTGGGCTCAAACACCAAAGCTGAGAATGAAGTACCTGCTCCTTCAGTTTCTCCTCCACTTGCTGCTTGTCATTTTTCAATCCATAACAGATTCCTGGGACATTTTCAGGTCTCCTTCCAGCTTCCTCTTCATTCTTTTGAGGTCAGCCCCCAGTTTCTTCTCCTGCTGCAAGCAGCCCTCAAGCTGGGAAGACACAGGTGGAAAGGTTGAGACCCCGGTGGGAAGGTGAGCTTGGCTTCTGCACCGGTGCAGCCACACATGCCTGTGGCTTCCTCAGGTGCCCATGGTGTGCCCTCACGTCTTTGGCCCCAGGAGGGAGCAAGGTGTAGTTCCCCCTGCACCCAGCTCTTCTCTCCTCCAGCAAGGCTGCCCCAAGGGGCTGGAGCCCTCGGAGGTCCTCCGGTGCCTCTTTCAGCTGATCCCCACTTGGTCTGTCCCAGGCCGTGTTCCTGCAGGTGCACATGCTCTTGCCCAGACAGGAACAAATGGGGCGTCCGTGAAGGTCTGGATTACACCCCATCACTCCTCCCTCACTTACACCATGCAACCGTGGGGAGGTTTAGGAAAGACTTTGGATGTGTGCATGTGCGTGTGCATGCACATGCAGGTGTGGAGAAAAAGAGAGGTGGGGGCGGAGCACATCTGCTCTGGCCTCAGGAAGATTAAAGCCATCTGGGAAAGGTCTAGCCACAATTGTGAGCAAAACCTGAAAACGTCAAACTTGGCTCTCACACCAAGAGCAAAAAGTGTAACACGCTGGAGGAAACAGTGATAATTTTCACGGCCACAAAGGGAACTCATTTGTAACAACGTTAGAACAGGACTGGAGATTTTGGGACCCCAAAGACCTCCCTGTGGATGCTAATAATGATAAGGGTGATGGTATTAGCAGCTCACTGCTCATTTCTAGGGAAACCCTCTGACATGGAACTAGTTGTATCCCAGTGTCACAAGTGGGAAACTGAGGCTTCGCGGGTCTAAGAGGCTTACTCAGTGTTCCAGATTCATTTGGAGTAAGATTAGAGCTGAGATCTGAACTCATGGATTCTGATTCCAGAGTCTGAACCTTCAACCCCTGCTTCCTACTTAGACCCTCTCTTGCCTGTGCTTCCACAAGGCATAGACGTCAGGGCATAGTAGTAAAACAGCCTCACGTCATCCAGTTGCTGCTCCAGCTTGACATTGAATTTGATTAGATTGTTGACTTTATCTTCTTCAGCCTGAAGATCGTCCAGTGTTTGCTGACAGGCTTCCTGCAGAGATTTCTTCTCTTTGGTCAATTTGGAAATGTTTCCTTCAAGTGCTGTCATTTCTTCATAGAGATTCTTTACCTGGGAGAACATCAGCACCAATGGAATGCTTAATCAATCAAATCAGAAGCTTCCAGCAAAAGTTATCAGTTCTTTCTTTCTTTTATAGTTTTTGGCTACTGCCTGCCCAGCAGGTGCTTACGGTGATGGCTGCTCTTCCTGAAACTGGAAGCCTCTCAGGTCTTTATCTTCCTCACTGGCCTATCACAGGGCCTCAAATCCTGCCATTATGGTTATTCCCTTAAAGAGGGCTTTATATTTCACAAGGAAGGACACCAACAAACGTGAATACATGTCTGAAGAGTAACACGCCAATGTGTTTATCATAACACAGCCATAGGAACTTGTTTATTAGGTTGGCTGATTGGCTTTAGAAGGAGGCAGGAAGCTGAAGGACATGAGGTGCTGTGCACCAAGATTCAGAGTGGGAGTCCTGTCTTGTCAGAAGCAGGATGAGGCACCAAACATGGGGAGCTTCAAGGCATTCAGTTCAACTTTGTTCCACATACAACATTTCTCCAGATCAGTTAGTTAACTCCTGATGCATGAATCTGGTCACAGACATGTTTTCTTTACAACTTTTGAATAAGTTATCAACATTCAGAAAAATGAAATTTCACATAAAATCTAGAAACTGGGTTCCCATGGAAAATCAGGAGCTCTGGCAGGGCTGGATTCACATTCCCACCAGGCCACCATTGGCTGGAGCTGAGTCATGGTTGCCACCTGTGGACAGGGCAAGTGCTCCCCAGTCTGCCATAGTCTCCACCCACCCCTGCTACCTCTTCCACGACCCTCAGTTGTCTAGCCAGCTCTGACTCTGAGTCATCTCATACCAGGCCGACCTCATCCTTTGCCCTACCTCATTGGCAATGTTATGTGGATCACGTATTGTGTTATTTGTTTATGTTATGAGAGGCAGGAGGGGGGTTGAGCAGGGCCTCTGGGGTAGAGAACAAGGCAGAGGACAGAACTTGTGCACTGACCACCTGGGTATTCATGCCTGCCTCTCATTTCCAGACAATGTGGAGTTGATGGGGGTCCTGCCCTCACCTGCTTCCTCCTCATAGAGAGGGAGTAAGGATCATTCCAGAGACTGTGGGGATCCCTTGGGTTTGCCCACCTTGTTCTCTGTGACATGCTTCTCTTTTTCTACTTTCGTTAGGGTCAGTTCCAGGTCGTCAATGTCTCTTCTGAGAGAAAAGCATTTATCTTCCAGATTCCTCTTCTGGCAACCAGTTCAGAGTTTATTTCCTCCTCCTCTTCCAGTCTCTCATTCAGCTGCTTGACTTTGGCCTCCAGTTGAATCTTGCTTTTGATGAGCCCCTCACATCGCGCCTCTGCAGCCATCAGGTTTTCTGTTTCCTGGAAGAACCAGATCATGACGTTCTGTTGAGCACCTTGACAAACCCCAGAAGGAGGGCTTTGCTCTCCAGATGTCCATTATCTGGACCCAAGTCAAAGGATGGGTCACACACTGCACACACATGTGCACACACACACACACACACACATCTCACCCATATGCTTTTATTTAACTACTGAGGACATCATCCACTTAATAGAAATTCACCTAAAATAATTCTAAACAAAGGAGTTCATGAAGTTCTTGAAGCCTCTGCAAATCTGCCAAATTTGGATGCCTGATCACCACATCTTCCTTCTACCACCGGTTGTTCCCTGTGTCTATGTTATCCCCAGCTAACTGATATTTTCAAAATGTTTCTACCTTTTAACTTTCAACAGAAAAGTGCTGCCTATGTCTTCTTAGTCCTGGCTTCTTGAGCCACAGAATAAAAAATTCAAAATACACAAGAATAAGCTATTGACTAAATACACATCCCTGAAGACTCTGTAATGAGTCTCTCGGGCAGGCCAAGATTAGCGAATTACGTTCTTAAACTGAATCAGGCTGTATCTTCTCATACAAGAGTGTGGTAAGCCTCAGATGCACATTTCAAGGCTATGGATGAAAAGGGCCCGGCAAGAATAATAAAGGGTCTGCCTGTGTTTACTGAACATGCACTATGTCCAGACATTCCACATGCATGCATGGATTCATCAAATCCCCCTGACAGCACTCCTGTGTGTGCTGTTGCTATGACCATTTCACAGATGAGAAAACTGACGCCCAAAGAGGATAAGTAACTTGCCTGAGGTCGCATGGCTACCAAATGGGGGGACTGGGATGTAAACTCAGCCAAAACATGTCCTCTTTCCTACTGTGCCTGGGGAAGTGCCTTTAATATCCACACTATGCTAACTGGGAGGTGAAAAGGGGAGAAGAAGCTCTGTTTGTAGGCAAAAGGTAAGGTTGGGAGTTTACTAAAAAGGGCAAACATTGAATGTCTTAACTCTGTGAAATGATACAGTCACACCACCAGAGTGTTATGCACTGTACATATGGTTTCATTTCCCTGTTTCCTTGATTGAAAAAATGTGTATCCTTGGTGAGCATTTAGTAATGTATAAATCACTGTGTTGTGTACCTGATACTAATACATTATGTGTCAACTATACTTCAATTTAAAATAAAAAATGCATATCTTTAAATAATTTTTTGAGTGTAGTCATATTATTGAAAATCATGTACAGAAAATTACTTTTTCTACTTTGAATTAATTTTAGTGATTTACTTTTTATTTACATGATTTAAAAAATAACTGGTGGCTTCTTGACAGTTTTAATTATGATGACAGGTATATACCCCTCATGCCCACAGAAAAATATGCCTAACTGTGCTAGAGAAGACAGAGAGAAATCAGGGTGAGCAGAAATTCATTTTGCAGACACCTCCCAGCGCGCTAAGCCAGGGCCAGGCTCTCCTTCATTGGCGGGGTGGCACTGCAATACTCCATAGGCCCACTAGGTGGCACCACTGTCCCTTGAATAGACCCACTTAATGGGGTTTCAGTGCAGCTTCTCTTTGGCTGCCAAGAAGGTACTTACAGACTGGACCTGCAACTGGAGGTCATTCTTTTCCTGCAACAGGAACACCATTTTCTCCTCCAACTCCTTCTGGCGAGCCTCAGATCTAGCCAGTTCCTCCTTGACCCTCTCGAAGTCCTCCTTCACGGTGGCCATCTCCCTCTCAGCCTCTGCACTCTTCAGCAGGGGCTTGATTTTGAAGAACAGGTTCATCCAGGGCCAATGCTTGACGTTCATGAACGAGTGGATGTTGTACTGAATGCAGAAGATGGAGTTCCTGTACATCCATTAGGACTGGGATTAATGAACCATGGCAAAGTCTTGTCCCCACCCCCACTCGTGCCCCTGGCCCAGGCCCTTCAGCCTTCCTGGCTAGGTGGGAAGGAGGTACCGCCAAGCCATGGAGATCCTATAGACTCCAGAGTATGTCCTGTACATGGAGGGCAGAGGAAACAGCACATGCAAAGGTTGAGAGTGAAAGGGCAGGGGGCCATTTGTGGATCTTCCCCTCACCTGGCTCCCCCTTCACCATCCTGTTGAAAACGCTGTGCCTAAGGTTGTCAGTGGCTTCCTAATTGCTAATGTGGTGAGCATCTTTCATTCCTATTTTTTTAGTCTTTATCCTACACTGAATTGTTACCTCTCACCTTTTTGAAACTCCTTTCTACCTTTGATTCCATCATAAAACAATTTTCCTGTTTCATGGCGTTTTGCCACATGGGTTCCCTCCTCCTGCTGAAGGGTTGGTGTACACCCAGGACCCACTGGTTGTCCCCTGGACTTTGCGCTTGTAGAATTGATCTGTTTTCCTAATTTTCACTTTGCCTACATCCCAGTGACACACACAACCTCCCACTATCACCCTCTATTCGCTTCCTGTCCCATGGCTCATGTGCGCCTGAGAACTTGCTTCTTCTCCTTCAGCTGGCCCTTCCTAGGGCTTTTTTCCTTTCTGAGCTAGCTTCCCTTCCCTTTAACGAGCAGATACTTGGGAGATGTTCTTGGCTGATACACAGTGGGGGTCCACTGTGGCAATGAGAATGGTAGAGCTACATGGGGCACCAGGGAATCGGGGAGAACAGACTCCCACCTAAATGCCCCTCTCCCTGAAGTTCCCACGCATGACCAGCCATCCGTGCTGCTATTCCTTCTGCTGAATTATTGGAGGAAGAAGACTCGGATGTGTTCTTTCAGTCCATCCCCTCCTCTCTCACTCGTGGACTGTTTCCTAATTCAGGTCCTGTCGTATTTCATTTGGACTTCTGCCACAGTCCACTATGGCCCTTCTGTCCCCCTCAGGCCTGCTCTCCTCGCAGCTGCCGGAGTAGCCTCTCTGAGCTGCAAACCCGATCTGCCCACTTGTCTTGTCACACCTTTCCTTGGCGCCCCACTGACCAGACGAGCCAATCTGGGCTTGTTAACCTGGCACCTGGGAACCTCTATTCCTGCCTCTCCCTCCTTGCTCCAGTCATGGGGACCTCCCAGGCCATCCTTTCTCAGGCCATGCAAAGCTTCCTCTAGGAAGTTCTCTCCTCTTGCCACCACCTTTAAACCAACCCCAACCCCAGCTTATTCTGGCCAGTCCCCCATTGCCCTGCATATAAGTGACATTGCACTTGGCACAGGCATTCACATCAGCCATGCTCATGTCTGCGTCCCACTCATGTGTGAGCTCCTGGAGGGCGGGGCTCATTTCTGCACACCCCATGCCAGAGACCGAATGAGTACATTAATACTCTAAGACCACAGGCAGGAGGCAGTGATCAGCTGTTGGGAAGGGAGGGGAGGGGAAGGTAGGGGAGGGGTAGGGAGGGCAGGGGGGTCTGCATCACCTCCTCTCTATCATCTTCTTGAACTCCACGTGCATCAGGTACCCTTGGCCCACGGCCTGCATGTGTGTCATCAGGGTCACCAGCTTCTCGTCTCTCATCTCCTCCAAAAGTCCCAGGAGCCCAGCTTTGAAAAACACCTGTGCTCGAGGAGAGTGGAGCCCTGCTCTGTTCTCCGCAGGGGTTGAGCCTGGGGCCCTCGTGGGAACCTGTTTCTGCCCAGTCTCAGCAGCCCTCCACCTTCAGAGCCCTGGTGGGACCAGCAGACACCTGGCTCACAGGTCTCGCTTCTTGGTGTCTCTGGTCCCGCACTGAGCCCTCCTTTGTCATGTTCCAAATGACATTTCCAGACCCCAGAAACTCCATGGACTGGTTCAGAGAGCTCACAGATAGGAAGCAAAGATGAGGCCAGAAAGTACCCTTGGAGCTCAATTGTGCCCAGATTAGGAGAGACTCGCAGCCACTTCTGTCCCCCCATCCTCCTGGCTCTCTGCCCATCTGAGAAGGCTCGTCCCCTCTGAGGCCCAGCCACCCACTGTCCACACTGGTGGAGATCCCTTGGCTCCATGACTTCCAAGGAAAGAGGGCACCACTGGCAGGGGGCAGGCAGCAGGCTCTTCCTCGGTGGGGATGGGTGGTCCCCAGTCCTACCTGGCCCTTCTGGGAGGTAAAGCTTGGAGTCTGGCCAGGATTTGAAGCCAGCATTTACCACCCACTATCTGTGTGGACTTGAGCAAGTTTCTTCTCTGGGAGCCTCCATCCCTCCTGCCCTCCCAGTAACCCATGAAGTCAGGACCACCATTATCACCATCAGGCTAGTGGGAGGAGTCAGTGATGCAGGTATAGAGGGCATGCCACACGACACGCTGTGTGCACACATGCTCCACGGTCCACTTTTCTCAGTTCCAGTCATTTTCCCAAGTCCTCATCATCCCCGGAGTTCTGTCTGTGCCCTCCTCTGTCTTTGGCTCCTTCCTCCCATTTGAGGATGCCTTTTCTCTGCTCCCTCCAGGATGCTAGAGCTCCCATTGCTTTTTCCTGTTGCTGGTGAGGCTTGAGCTTCCAATTAAGCCTCTAGACTCTAAAACCAATGGGGAGACAGAGCCTTCAATACCTAGACCCCGGGCTCCCTCTACCTGGAATCCTGGGCTAGGGGTAGTCAGAGTGACCGGAGAGGGAGAGAGACAGCCTTCCCTCCAGTCAGCAAAAGCCGCCCTGGGCTGTGGGCTGCACGGGGCGGGGCTGTCCCAGCCCACCGATCTCACCTTGGTGTGGCCAAACCTGTGCTGCTCCCGGTCCACATCGAAGGAGTTCAGAAGCTTCTCAGCAGCATTTTTGCTGTCGATAAACTGCCCTTCCGGGATGGCCGTGGCACTGAGGATCCAGTACCTGAGGAGACAGCGCCGTTGGTCAGTTCCGGTGCCTGCTTGTCCCCGGGTGTGAGTGGGTCTCAGGGCGGAAGGGCCTCGGCTGTGCAGCCCTGTGCAGAGCCAGGAGGGGGCTCCCCCAGCTGTCTCCTGAGGGCCACACCCTGCTTCTCTCTGCTCAGGCCCAACCCAGCCGTTCTGGCCACCCAGGGCTGGAGGCCATGCCCTCCCCTTGCCCATGGGTAAGGCTCAGACGGCTGGAGGTGGTGTTGACTGTACCCGGGATGGGAGTCGGGAGGTTGAGGTAAGACAGACTCCTGGGAGCCAGTGGGGCTCAGGTGACAAGAGTCTGCCAGCAGCTGCTGAGCACCCAGGAAGCCAGAGAGACACCTGATCCTCACTCACGTCCCGCTCTAGGGGGCTGGTCGGGCCTGTCATCTGCTTAGATGCTTCTCCCTCGGCGTGGCAGTGGGGGTGATGGTTTCAGTTGAGGGACAAAATCACCTGAATGGATTCAAAGCCCATATCTGAGAGCAGACCTTCTAGAACCTTCCCCTGCTCTAGCCTTAGGAGGAAATGGAATATTGTACAGCCAGTTAGTTGGGCAGAGGGAGAATTTGGAGTTGATTCTAGAGAAGCAGGCAGTGGCAAGAGGGAGAGAAACATTATAGAAAGAAGCCGAGCTGAGTGCCCGGCTGGGTGTTTGCTGTCAGAGGATACAGCTGTTATCTGACTTAACAGAGCATTGAAATCAGCATGACCTGCAGACATCTGCAGAAGCATCCTCTCCCTTCCTCCACTCTGGACAAAGCCTGGGCTTGTGGGCCCAGATGACAGCTGGAGGAGAGCATTGGTCTGGAGAGGTGGGTCTCAACTGAGGCAGTTCGTCCCCCCAAGGGGGTATGTGGCGATGTGGAGACATGTTTTGATTGTCACAGCTTCTGGGTGTGTGTGTGTGTGGAATGCCACTGGCATCTAATGGGTAGAGGCCAGGGGTGCTGCTGAAATCCTACAGGGGATGGCCCCACAGTAAGGGATCATCTAGCTCCAAATGCCCATAGCGCACAGGCTGAGTGCACAGCACCCTGGTCTGGAGTGACAGGAGGGAGGGAGGGTCTAAACTCTCACCCTGGAACCTCTTTGGGGTGACCTGGTGCTCACTTTGGCAATAGGATCACACCCTACCCCCCAGCCCCCCAGCAAAAGACAAAGCCCATGGAAATACCCTGGGAGGCTTGTGAGCTCACCAAACTCCCAGAGCAAGGAGTGGCTTTGGGGAGTGCAGAAGGTGCCCTCAAAGGGAGAGAGATGCAGATGTGGGGCAGCTGACCGCTGTTGAAGTCAGCATAGAGGATCTGGCTGGGGAAGCCGTTCCTGCAGATCCAGATGCCCTCCAGGACCCCGTTACAGCGCGGCTGGTGCAGGACCAAGGGTTGGTCCATCACGCCTGGGGAGACAGTGCCCAGGGCGCTTTATCATTGTGTGTCTTTGATGGTCTGGACACCGTGAGACATGCTGACACCCCCATACTTGGGTGGAAAGAGTTGGTGGAGGAGCTTGGGAGTGGCTGCAGCCTGCCCACAGACTCATGTAGAAATAATCCCCACCTTCTGGGGAGACTCTAGCACCCTGTAACTGTGGGAATAAAAACCAACATATTTGTCCGTGGCTCTTGACTCTGTCACTAGGCTCCAAGGGAGGGCAGACTGAGTGTAGAGCCCAAAAAGTGGGCTTCCCATTAGAATAGTTGAGATGGCCTTCTGTGTCTGTTGAAGGATGGGGTGTAAAATCCACAGGCTGTGCCTTTAGTGGGAGGAGAAGAACAGAAAGACAGCTGTGGTGGGGCGGGGGTGCCTGAACGCAGGACGGTCCCCTGCTGACTGTTGAGCACCAGCTCTGGGAAGGAAAGGGGGGCACCAGACCTGGGCTGGAAGAAGAGCAGCCATAGGGACATGCCCCAGGGGGACAGCGACATGGTGCTCTTGTTAACCTACCTGGATCAGGCACAAATCAAAAGGGGCTGGAGAAAATTCTGTATTGGGGCACTGTTAGGGGTTAGGAGAGGTATGTAACATCTTCTCATTCTGGGACCCCAGCTGCTGGGCAGGGATGGGGCTGAAGCTGGCTTTGACTTAAACTTATGGAAACTTCTAGAAGCCTTCAAGTTTCCCTGGTGGCTGTGAGGAGAGATGGCTACAAGGTAGATGCGAGGTAGAGAGGAAGGGACAGAGATTTTTACCAAAATTAACCTCCTGAAAGAAGCAGTGAGCCAGAAATTTCCCAAAGCCCTGGGGGCTTATATTTAGTCTTGATATTATTGCTTATTTGGGTTATGCAAAAAGTTACAAAGATACCCTAATTAAATTTAGAGAAGATGCTATTCATCATTTAAGTTTAAACTTGTGCCCATTTTTTTATATCCCACTGCCAAAGTACACAAGGATAGTAATTTTTAAAGATTATCTAATTATAGGATAAATGATTATATAGCATATATTTTCAAACTTAAAACATTAATTTGTTAAATTTATGCATTTATGATAGCCCATTATTTTAAAACCCAATTTTGACTATTACTTAAACTATGTATATGAGTAATCTCAATGAGTGATACTGGCTTGTGTAGCTGTGAATAACATGAGAGTTCCTGTGGCCAGGATTCTCACCTGGCCCTGGCTGACTAGCTCACTGCACACCTGTGGGCAATACATGGCTATTGACTCTATATAAAGAGCTCCACCCAGTGCTCTGGGTGCAACAAGGCTGCAGGAGAGCAGAGGCTGGAGTGGTGGCAGTGCCAAGGACAGAGGTCCAAAGGACGGCTGTGTGAGACGGCTGTGCAGAGAGGCCCAGAGGATGGCTGTGTGGGATGGCTGCCGGGGCAGAGGGGCCCAGAGGCAGAGACCGGTTTGCTGCATGCACACTCCCTCTAAATGAATGGGATTTTAGTGACTGACCTGCCATCGTGGAAATAAAGTTGGGTATAACCCTTTCACTCCAAGAACATTTTGCTGTCAATTTCTTTGGTGACATTGAATCCATAGCAAACTTGCCTGGGGCTGAAACCCATTGGCAAGACGGTACCATTTTGGAAAACAGTCCATAAATTCCTCAGGAAATTAAACTAGAGTTACCAGATGACTCAGCAATTCCACTCCTCAGTCTATACCCAACAGAACTGACAACATATGTCCACATAGAAGTTTGAACACAAATGTTCATAGCAGCATTACTCACAATGACCAAAACGTGGAGACAACCCAAGCATTCACCAGCTGAGAGTGGGTAGACAAAATGTGTGATATCCATACAAGAGAATTTCATTCATAAAAAGAAGCAATGTACTGATATGTGCAAAACACAGAAAAACCTTGGAAACATGAGACTATGTGAAAGAAGCCAAACACAAGACCATGTGGTATGATTTCATTGATATGAAATGTCCAGAAAGGGCAAATCCACAGAGAGAGAATGTAGATCAGTTGCTAGGGGCTGGGGAGTGAGGGGTGGGGGGTTGGGAGCAGAAGTGACTGCTGATGAGTGACAGGGATGATGAAGATGGCCTCAAATTAGCAGCGATGCTTGCACAACCGTGTAAATACACTAAGAAACATTGCATTTTTTTAAAGCGTGAATTTTATGGTACATGAATTACATCTCAATTTGAAAATGCTATTTAAAAATGTGGTTGTCTCATCCACCGAGAAGCCCCGTTTAGCTCCATAGAGCTCAATCTCTTAAGGAAGAGGAAGAACAGGAGCAAGAAAAACTGTGATCAGAAACAGATAGATAAATCAGGCGTGCGACTGCGGGTTCGTCATGAGCAGCCTTGGGTCACGAGTAACCATACAGAGCTTTCCACAGGGGAAAACACAGAAAGAATTTCACCTGCTTCTGCACCAGTGTAGTTGGAAAAAAGGAAGGACAACAGCTTCAGCCAAGACTTCTGGTACAGCCCGGCCACAGTCTCGTTCAGAGGGTCCTTGTTCTTGTCCAGCCAGCCCGTGATGTTGTAGTCCATGGTGCCCATGTAGTGTATCAGGGAGAAGTGGGCCTCGGCGCTGCCCTTGACCACCTTGGACTTCTGGAAGTTGGCAGACTTGCCCAGGTGCTGGTCATACAGCTTGTTCTTGAAGGAGGTGTCCGTGGCCTTGGGGAACATGCACTCCTCTTCCAGGATGGAGAAGATGCCCATCGGCTGAAAGGATAACAGACTATGCCTCAGCATTTAGTTGTACATCCCAGTGACGCCATTGTCTGTAGGGGCCAAAAACTTTGTTGTACCACTCTTATCACCAGGAATGCTGTGCCTAAGTGCTGTGAGAGCAAGGCTCTTGGTTTCTTTGGTGCGATGACAGAACAGTGCAAGACATGCAGCACGTGCTTAATTAATATTTGTTGAATAAAAGAACATGGAATGAAGTTATGTGCACATAAATGTAGCTCACTTCTGGCCATAGGTTTATAAAAAAATAGTTTTTACCAAAAAAAGTTATTGACATAGATATAAAGTAATGTTATATTTTAAACAGTAATGTCTGGATTTCTCAGGAGCCACCTTGAGAAGATAAACTCTTTCCAACAGGACGAGTGCTCAAAACATTATGGGAATTTCTTTTTTAAACATTAAAATTCCCTGCTGTTTTCATAATAACAGTCCTCCAATAATCTCACAGCCTGGGGTTCTCCTCCTTGGACTTTGGACATAGGAGAAAGGTACGAAATGCCACTGTCCACATTGGGCTCCCATTCACGTTCTTAGGGATAACTGAGACTGTGGATCTTAACCACCCATGCACTTCTTTAGGTGTTTGAACATATTTTGGGTGCTTTCCAAACACCCTTTCTGCACAACAGGTTCAGCTCTCTGAAGGCCCACTACCTGGGAGAGTAGGGTTAGGAGCTCCAACCTATTAGCAGAGAAGAATTATGGCTAAGGGACGATGGTCCCAACCAAGGAGGAGCTGTCCCTGGGGAGCAGCATTCATTTCTCTACCTTCTCGATGAGCTCGATGCAGGCAGCCAGGTCCATCCCGAAGTCGATGAACTCCCACTCGATGCCCTCCTTCTTGTACTCCTCCTGCTACAGCACGAACATGTGGTGGTTGAAAAACTGTTGCAGTTTCTCATTGGTGAGGTTGATGCACAGCTGCTCCAGGCTGTTGAACTGGGTTTTTCAAATATTGAAGAGTTTGAGTGAGTTTGGAAAATCCAGTGGGGATTCAGCAAAGCAAACATCATGTCAAAGGGCCTTTTTAGGCCAGTCATTTATTCAAACAACTCACATCGAAGATCTCAAAGCCAGCGATGTCCAGGACCCCGATGAAGTACTGCCTGGGCTGCTTAGTGTCCAGCTGCTGGTTGATGCGGGTTACCATCCACAGGAACATCTTCTCGTAGATGGCTTTGGCCAGAGCGCCCACCGTGTTGGTCACCTTGAGGAAGGATTCACCCACTCAACCCTCAGCTTAGTGTTTTTATGGTTGAAACATACAAAGTTGGCATCTTGAAGGTCAAAAGCAGTTGGAGATTGGCAATTTCACATAGTCCAACCTAATATTAAATATGTCTTGAGGTGTTTACCCGGCTCATGACATCTCCCTTTCTCTGAGAGCTAGCCCATTTGCAAAGATAGTTTTCTACAAACCATGGTTATAACACACTCCTCTAACCACTAGATGCACTTAATTGATTCGAATTTGGTTAAACAGGGTATCTTTCCTGAGAGTTGGAAACTGGGATCAAAAGACACTGGTCCCAGTCTAGGGTGAGGGTGGGACAATGGAGATCTAGACTTGGGAGCTGTGGGGTGGCCATGGGCCGGAGAGTGGGGAAAGCTTGTATCTGCTTGGTGGGGACACACAGGGGAGAGTGGTGCCAGTCCCCGGAGGCCCAGAGAAGGAGCTGGGGAGAGGCTGCCTGCCTCCAGGGGGCTCTTCAGTTCCTAGCTCCAGGTCTTCAAGGTACTCAGTGGGTATGTACTCCTGGATTTGCATTCCTTGAGTTACCCCTGAGGCCTAAGAATGAATCCCACCTGAGATTGGAAGTCAGTTTCATATGTATTTTGGACACCTGCAACTCTAAAATGATGGTGAAAATAACTAAATACTTGAGTCAGCTGAAATCAGAACATTCTTACCTGTTGGACATTTTGTCCTTTAGTGACATATTCATTCCCCACCTTTACCCTTGGACAGCACAGGCCTTTCAGCATTTCTGCAGAGTTCAGACCCATTAGGTATCCAGCTTTGTCAGCCACTGAAGGAAGAGGAGAAATGGTGTGACACAAAACAGCAGATGCTAAAGGGTCCAATCAGGTCCACCCAGAAATGTTTTCTGTAATCCTTTTTGATGTTTTGATGTTCTCCTATGTACACCAGGCCTGGACTTGCCAATGATGCTTCAATCCCACAGTCCAAGATCCCAGATTTTCAAGAACTTTCAATTTGCCTCCTAGATACAACCCTTAATTATAGGTTAATCTTGGTCTACTGATATTTGAATTTCATTTTTAAAAAAAGATATAGTTACACAGTAATATTGGAGTCTCATAGCAACAAAATGGCATATAAATAAAGGAGGCACCATTTGAACAATTAACAATATATGTCAAGCACCTTCCTAATTTATGCAAGTGCTAATAGCTGAGAGAGAAATACAAAACCTTAACCCAGCCTTCAAGTGTTTGGAGATATTCAAAAGCAGTTGGATTTTGGCAATTTCATATAGTTCATTGGGAGTTCAGTTGACTTTGGGATGGTCCTGGCTCTTGAGCTCATTGGGAAGGTAGAGAAATGCTCTGCTTCCCAGGGACAATCCTCACTGGTTGGGACCATCACCTTATTGCTGGCTGGGGATGTGAGTTAATAAAAATCCAGGGCAGTATTTATTGAGTACTTAATAAGAGGCCAAATATGTGCTTTATTCTTTTTCTTGCTTTGCCATTTAGATGGATGCACCATTATTCTTTGAATCACTTAAACTTGAAAACTTGGGGTGACTGCATCCTTCTTTCTTACCCCTGACATACCTGTGTTCAGACAGGCACCACATTCTGCTCACTTTACCTTCAAAATAGCTGGCATCTTCCTTGTTTCCAGGTGTTGTGGAATAGTATAGTGGCAGAGGGCCTGGGCTCCAGGGTCAGACTGTCAGGGCTCCAGTCTTGGTTTTGTTTCTTTATGCCTCAGTTTTGGCATTTGTAAGCCGAGGGCTAGTGGCCGACCTGTGCTGGCTGGGTTGTTGAGCAGCGGGTCTGGTGCATAGAGAGCGCTCAGCAGACCTTAGCTTGGGTTGGTAGCATCGTCAGAGGAGCTCAGGCCTCAACTACAACCCTCTTCTTACCCCTTTTCTAGGTTCCTTCTGCTCCTGAACATTGAACACATGGCTGCCAGGGCTGCAAGAGGGCTGGGGCCCCCACCAAGATATATATTAATATGGCGTCCTCTTGCTGAGGGGCTGGATACATTTTTTTTCAAGGTTTTATATTCTTGGTGATTGTGACTGCTCACAGATTAATCCGAGGCTGTCACTCATGCTTACGCTGCTACTTGGGGTGTCTGTGGCTTCTGGTGTTAACTGCACATGTTCTAAACCATTTATCCTGGCACTCAAGTCCTTCCCAAACTGATGCCAAGATAACCATTTTTAATTCTCATCTCTTACAAGTCCACCACACATCCCTCATCTATAGCCAAAGTGGACCATTCTCTCTGCTCCTTGGTCCCCTCTGATCATGAAGTTCCTTCTGCCTAGACTGCCCTCCCCCCCACCTTTCAGAATCCTACCATCCTTCAAAGTCCATGTCAGTGCTCCCCTCCCCCAGGAAGCCTTCCCTGATTATCCCAATCAGAGGTACTTCCTGCTCTAATCACTCCGAGTTTCTCTCCTCAATTTAGCATGTACCTCTATGATAGGCAGGATTCCATGATGGCTCCAAGATTGGTGCCCCCCAGTGCACCTTCTCTGTATAATTGCCTCCCCTTTCATGTGGGTAGAACTGTGAATGGGATATACTCCTGCATTGAGGTTACTAATCAGTTGACTTTGAGTTAATAAAAAGAGATTATCCTGGGTAAACCTAGCCTAATCAGGTGGGTCTTTATGGATGGTAATAAAGTCATATGTATTTTCCTGGCCTTTAAATCAAGGCTATTGGTTCCTTCTGTCATCTGGGATTCAAGACACACTGGTTCACACAGTAATACAAAAGGTAGAATTATTAGGGATGAACCAGCCTTTCACGATGGAGCTTGTAGAATGCAGTGTGAGAGATATGAGGCCTGAAGTGGGCATATGGTGGGTGGGTCCGGCTGCTGTCAGCCCCTCCTGCTGCTCCATTTCCCTGCCTTTTAGGGTGAGATTATCCAGGTGAGAGTCATGGTAGGAAGATGTGTACACCAGTGCTTGGTCAGGTCAAGTTCAACAGGTGTCAGAGTGGAAAAGGCAGCACAGGAGGAAGAAACCTGGCTGCCACCTTACCAAAGACCTTGTGTTAGGCCATAGCAATGAGGATGTTCTGGATATTAATAATGATATGCACAGAGGGAAGTGACGTTCCCTTAAATGTATCTTCTCATAAATGTCCACTTTAAAATAACACGTTAACTGTGATGGTGAGAGATTGACAAGTGGACTGTGATTACTCACATTTATGAAAACGATCCTTTTTGTTTTTCAAGGATTTGCAACTATAGGAGTCCTTGATCGAGCAAATGGACTTCCCCAGCTCATGTACAATGAGCTTCGGATGGCCCAAATTCAGTGTGTACAATTTTCAAAGAGCATCTCTTGAGATGAACACAAAAGTTTATCTCCTGTAGCCCAGTCCACATACCAGCACAGGTGGAGAGTAAAATCCCAGGCCCTTCCCGGATGCATTACCCTCAGGGCCGTCCGGCTCTGCCTGATCCTCACGCTGTTTCTGCTTGAACTTCTTGTTCCCATAATGCATCACAGCTCCAGTCAGTTTGTAGATCCCAACTTTCTCCTCTGAGCTGAAGCCAAGGATGTCAATGGCATTCTGGAATTAAAAAAAGGACAGCCATCACAGTAGGACAGCTTCTTCCTGGCAAAAGAAAGTATAGCTTTTCCCTGGCAAAGATAGCACCTTTTTGTATAGCAGGTTAGACAGCATTTGCCCAAATAAGTGAATGACAGGTGGGATATGACGAATTAGTGCTTAAAACACCATTTCTTTGATATAACATGTTGGTGTGAGTGGGTGGAGATTATGGGAAGAAAATGTGAATAATCTATTTTCTCCCATCCAATAAGAACTGATATTTTTTATTTTGGTATCATTGATCTACAATTACATGAAGAACATTATGTTTACTAGGCTCCCCCCTTCACCAAGTCCCCCCCACATACCCCTTCACAGTCACTGTCCATCAGCGTAGTAAGATGCTATAAACTCACTACAATAAGAACTGATTTTAATCCTTTCCCACTGTATGTAGATTTGGGGGCTGTGTCTAGATAAAGTCACTGGGAACCATTGTGTGATGTTGGGAGAAGGACGTCTGTGGACAGCATCTGAAAAATAGTGTCCAACAGTTGTAGAGTTTGGCGTTGTGATCCAGGAATTCCAGTGCTGATGAGAGTTCAGGCAATATGCCATCCTAGAGCAGTAGAACTGGAAGGGAAGATCTTTGAAGAGAGTACCATTGATTTTCAAATAAGAAAGGAGCAAACTTTGGCCAACCCCTCTTCACGTAATGCAGGGGTTAGGCACCATACAGGTGTTTTCTCATGAAGTCCCTATGATGAGAACCTTATATGTGAACAGATTTTCCAGACTCCCTGATGAAGAACCAAGGTTCAAAAAGGGCAAATAACCTCTTTAATAAAAAAAAACACTTATAAAAAAGAAGATCAGTAACCTGCCCCAAGTCTTGCAGGCAGGGTGTGATAAGCATGGTGCTGGAGGCACGGCTGAGTCACTTCAAAGCCCACAGCAGTTGCCAATTTGGTTTTATAACCACTTGGCCCATCTCCCATTAAGGTTTAAACTAGAAAATCCTTCCCTGAGGAATACAGATTGATGGTGTGGCAGAGTTTGCCACTGGAGCCTAAGCAATGCTCACTGGTGGAGTTGAAATATGTGTGGACATGTCTGTGAGCTGGCGGGAGACCCAGCCAGTGTTGAAGAGAGGAGCACTCTTGTGGGTGGTGCCCCTTTTGGGGGAGGGAGAGCCCATGCCTAGAGTTGATGCCAGGAGGAGAGATTCAGAGGCCTCCCTTGAATCCATGCTTCATGCCAGCAGATGCGTATCTGTGTTCAGGAAGAGGTTGCTGTGGGTTAGGAGAGAAAGAACTTCCACTAAATGCTGAAAGGAGCCGGTAAAAGCATTACTGCCTGGGAGCTTTTGGCATATGCGGTCCTTGCAGGGAGCAATCCCCCCTACCTGACCACAAAACAGCCATCACCCAGGAGAAGCTCAGTGGGAGGGTGGAACAGCAGCCCGTCAGCATGGGATTTACAGTGAGAACTCAAGACATCTTTGGTGATGTGAAGAATGACTTAGGAGGGCCTTTCTCAGGACTGGACACCTTGCCTCAGTCATTCACCTGTCCTTTCTATACTTGTCAGTGGGTAAAGACTGGAAAACCTGGTAAAAATACGTAATGCTTGTCAACAGAGAAATGCAAATTAAAACCACAATGAAATATCACCTCACACCAGTGAGGATTGCCACCATCCAAAAGACAAACAATAACAAATGTTGGTGAGGTTATGGAGAAAGGGAAACCCTCCTATACTGCTGGTGGGAATGTAAATTAGTTCAACCATTGTGGAAAGTAGTATGGAGGTT